CTTGAATTGGATTTCAAAAAAGGTGTAGCAGCCTTCAGGAGGATGATCGAAAGTAGAAAAGTGGAAGGGCTATAGAACGCCCAACCGGTAGGATGACCGATCTTTTCAGGTCTATACCAAGGGTTAGAAAGAAGGGTGGAAGAAGAGTGCTTTGTAGATTCTTTGGTTGAGGATTTCTTTGGAGGAGAACCAGAAGTCCTAGGCTGGGAAGAGGAAGGTGGAAGGTTCGAAGAAGGGACAGAGACAGGCTGAGGAGAAGCGATCTCATCCTCTTCTTGGCTCGTCTAAAGCGCCAAAAGCAGGTCGACGACGGCGGAGGGGAATATTATCCATAGTGTCTCCTGAGTTGGGAGAAGCGACACGGGCAGTGAAAACCCGAGTAGGAACTGTGTCACCGGGCAGAAGGATAGAAAGAGCGACAGCTTCGAGGGCTGAGGGCAAGATTTGAACCGAATCGGAGGAAGTGCTCGAGGTGGCAGAATCTGAAAATAAAAAAAAAAAGAAGAAAAAGAGCAATATCAGGAAGAGGAATTTGGACGAAAAAGAAAAGGAGATAGAAGAGAAGGTTTTTGAAAATTAGGGTTCTACAAAAAGAGGCGATTTTGGGGAAATTGAGGAAGGAGAACAGGGGTTATGGGAAAATTTCAAAGGGAGAAAACGAAATCTACAATGATTAACATGTGAAAGCCGACACCCAACATACAAATCCAAAATACTCAGTCAGCACACTTCAAACACCCAATTCAAAAAATTCAAAATACAAAATCCTAGACACAGGAAGTATAAAATCAAAGGAGGAACGACTTACTCATGATCGCAGATGGAAGATCTGGAAGAGCTTGAAGATTGCAGGAGAAAGCGCCAAAATAAATTAGGGTTCTCGCAAAAGGGGATGTTTGAACGCAGGGAAGTTCGAAATCGCAAAGGTGGAAAAACTGAGAAAAATCGCTAAGTATTGAATTTATACTTGGGAAGTTAAAAGGTTGGAAGAGCAGGACCGTAGGATTAAAGCCAGATCTAACGGTAGGAGACATTAATTATCACAGTACTCAAAATAGGCACATTATGCGAGGAGGCGCTATCATTAAAGTAACTGACAGATGTGGCAGACGCGACGCGTGGCAGAAAAGTAGGTGCAGTAGAAGGATATATGATAGATGACCCTATCCCTAGCAATTAATGAGGTGTTATTTGCAAAAGGAACGGGAAGTCCATCAGATGGTCGATATTGGACGCCATGGTATCCAGGAGGTCGATAAGTATAAACTCACTCTTAGATCGAGTCATTCAGACTCGACCAGAGTGGGGGGGACTAGATGATATAAGATATTATACCCACAAGGCTGAACCGGTCTATTGAGCGGTCGAGGAGGTCGTATTATGAGGAAGTCAAAGAAATCGAGCAGTTAACCTGTCGACCAAGCAAAGTCGTCGACCAAACTATCCTTCGACCAGATACACAATCGAGCAACCTATTCGACCTCAACAGGTCGATTACTTCGAGGACTTAACACCACGCTGTTCGGCCTAGTCATAGGCGCGTGAAGGAGCCTCTGACAGAATTCCAGATAAATATTTACCCCATGTGCAGGGGGACACGTGTCGAGAAGGCAGTGGTGGATAGTGATAACCACCACTGACAGCCTACCCCATGTGCAGGAGGACACGCGTCCAAAGAGGATTGGTGCAGGCGATAGTGGCGACGGCTACCTATGACACACGCGTTTGGTGTGTACGGACGGGCAGTTAGGGCAGACAGCTCATCAAATCCGGGCAGCCCTAGGTCAGGTATCTCACCCCTATATAAAGGGGGTGAGCCTTTCTTCTTCAACACGATCATTCTACTACTTACTCTTGAGAATTGATTGAACATACACTGACTTAAGCTTCGGAGGCTCTTCACCGGAAATCCCCTCCGGTGAGAGTTCTTTGTAGGTGCACGACGTTCAATCGGTGAGAAGGAAGACGATTACTCAAGTTCCAGCCGGTCGAGAAATTTTGTGTTACCAAAGAGATATAATTGTACATCAAACTAAACTAAATACTTGAAATAAATTATTAGTTATTATTATAAAAGTATATATATATTATTGTAATATTTTTTATTATTTAATACTCTAATAATTTTATTTAATATTTTATAATATTTTTATATTATTAAAATATTTTATATTACTTTTATTTAATCATTTTATTTAATCTTTTAATATATATGTATAAAAATATTTAAGGGATAGTGTTTTTTACAAATTTTATAAATTATAGATTTGGCCCATGAACTTAATTGAAATATAATCAAAATATTCAATTTACAAATAAGTCCCTAAGAGTTGTCAGATTCTCAAATAAAACCCCACAATCCTAATTGATTTTAGGTGAACAAATTCGATCGGGAGTTCGGATGTTGTGTCAATGGACGGCGGACTAGCGACGGACTGGTGTTGCTGAACCTTTGAACACCGAAGGTGCGGTTGATTCTTTGATTAATGGACGGAGATGGGCGGAGGTGCGGCTGGGATAAGGCGATTGAAATTTTGAACGACGACGGGTGGGCGGATGGCGGAGCTGGGGAGGTTCGATCTGAATTTCGAAAGTGCAGAGTTGGTCGGAGTTTCAGATGGGCGGCACTATGGTGATGATAGGCGGCAACGGGCGGCGCTAAGGAGGGAGTTTATCGGTGGTTGGCTTTTCGCCGATTGGCTTCTCGGTCCCAGGACGGCCATGTAGCTGAGGAAGTATATATGGCGCCGGTGAAGGGTCGGCGGCGGTGCTCCGCCGTGTCTGAATGTGTGTGCGTCTCCATTGTGTGTGGGTGAGAGAGAGAGAGAGAGA